GACAGGTTGCATGCGGAAAATCAGCAATGAAGGTAGATGGCCTGTGCCACATCAGCAATGTAGACAGGTGGCATGCGCCACATCAGCAATGAAGAGAGATGGCATGCGCCACACCAGCAATGTAGACAGGAGAGATTTTCGATCTTTATGGGTCACAAGAATAAATGCTGCAGTACGAGAACAGGATTTGTCCTATAATAAGTTGATTTTTTAATTAAAAAGTCACAAAGTATTATTGAATCGTAAGATGCTTGCACAGATAGCAACATCAGCAATGAAGACAGGTGGCATGCGCCACATCGGCAGAGGCTGGCGCTCAGCAGAGAAGGCGCCAGCATGCTGCCACAGTCCCGCGTCGTCGTCCACAGTACTAGCGCACAGCCAGCGTTAAGCCGGTATCTAACCAGCGTCGAGCCAGTGTCATGCCAGCGTCCAGCCACCATCAAGCCAGCGTCAAGGCAGCATAGCAAGACTGAATTTTGACCTCCTGGAGACCAAGCCTTGTGTAGTGTTTGACGAGGCAGTCTGGCCTCAGGTCTCCCACCCACAGTCGTACAGATTGACTCACAGCCGAGGGCCTGGATTGTGTACAGTTGCAGACTTCCATTTGGTCCTGATGCTGTCTGGGTACCTGCATACAAACAAGTGTGTGCGTCTGACCGGCGGCCTGGGCTGGGTCCACCTTTACTTTGACTGTTGGGCATCAGGCAGTTGACTTTAGTCAACTGTCGCCCGCTCAGGCCCTGAATCTACGTAGGGCCTTTTTTCCCCTTCGGCCTGGATTGAGTATGGCCTGGCGAGGCCCTTAGACATTCCATGAGGCATACTGCATGGGTTATCTCAGACTGCCAGGCTATCAAATAAATGCCAGCATTCTGCCTGCACTTCTTCTGGCACAGGTATATAAAATCTGTGGGAAAAATACGCGCTAGTCCCGGCGTTTTGCGCTGTTCTGAAGTGTGAAATGGTGTCGTGTGTGATCTACAGCCCTTGAAAACTGTCAACACAGAAAGGTGTTTGAGGGGCGTAGCTTCTGCCAACTGAATCCTGCAAACCTCTCTCTGTCCGTCAATGAACAAAATACTCGAGATATTGTTGACGCTAAAGTCAAGCTGTAATCAAGTGCGCGGCCGCCCTCAGTGAGCTGCTGTATGACTGACATTCGACAACTGGACAGCCCTCAGCATTTGGATGCATGGACCACAAGAAGAGGATTACCTGTGCTGTGGCATTGAAAACGAAAAAATGATGATCTTTGCCTTGTGGTTGAATCGCTCAGACATGTTACTTTGATACTTAGTTCAAATACTGATGGATACAACGATCATACGGGCTACAAACCCCCGACGCCCCCCCTGTCCTCCCTTTTTCTTAAGAAAAGATAGAAGAAGATAACAGTACTATAATGGAATGCAGGCATTGTTGACATCGAGAAGCGACATGACTGTCATTGACAAGGTGTGTGATCACAATCTTGGCCAACAATGCCTGGCCAGATCTTGAAGTTCCATCCTCCATGTTGTTTCCAAGCCTGATAGGCCTCATCCGGACAGGACTGCTCTTGAGCGAATCAAATGAAATTAGAGGATTACTCTGTAGAATTTGATTTTCAACCGAACAGAATGGTCTCATCTATACCTGTTGTGCAGGAGAAATTTGCAGCTACTGCTATGTCAGCAAGCAGCAAGTCTACATTTGTGTATACATCATCGACAGAGTTTGGGCAGGTCACATTTCAAAAGTAAGTGCTTGTTTGGACTGAATGCTACAATGTGGGCCTGTTGTTGTTTCCTCAGAAAGTGGATGTGCGCTTGCGGATTATTATCTTTTGCTCACAGATAAGTGGTCTGGACACTGTCTCACTTAATAGTCTCATAGTTTGTTAAAGTTTAATGAAGCTTGAGCCTGATTGATGAAAGGCATTCCACGATGCAGACCCCAAATTCGAATTTCAGTGTTAAGGTCTCAAGCCAAGGGAAGCCAAGTCGGCCAGATCAGAAAGGTCACAGTCGGGCACCTTAGGAGTCAAGCCCAACAGGCACCTGGTAAACAGTCACATCCCAAAGGCAAAAGTTGCATTCTGTAAGCAAAAGTCACGTCTCATATTGAAAAGTCATGTCCCACAGGCAAAGGACACTTCTCCAGGCAGAAATTGTGTCCCAGAGGCAAGAGTCACATCCCACAGTCAAAAGTCATGCTCCACAGATGAAAAGTCGTGGCTCACAGACCCAAGCAGCAGCACGTCAATGAAAATTCGCGAAAAGTACCAGGCCTTGACATTCTGAAGCAAACAGGCCATGGGCATGTGGTTCTGCGTCCAAGTCAAACCAAAGGAGCAGAGACTGGGACGAGTTGAGGCTCAGTCCAAGTCAATATAAGGACTGGCCAGCCACATTTCGCGAGAAGTGTGGAAATGCTGCTGAAGCACTTGTGCGCTGCGAGTAGCATGCGTGCGAGAGCCCTGCTGGGCAGCGCTGCACTGAGACAGAAGGCGGCCATAGCCACATAAGTTAGTAGTAGGGATAGAGCTGGGTAGCAGCGGATGTATTCAGAGTCGAGATTCTCAAGTAGGGAGACAGTAAGAAGAAGAGAGAGTGAGCGCATGCATGAAGAAGAGAGAGAGAGAGAGAGAGAGAGAGAGAGAGAGAGAGAGAGAGAAGAGAGTCACTTACCTTGGTTGAGCGCTTGGTGATTGGAACTCTGCGCTGATGAGCGCTTGGTGATTGGAACTCTGAACTGCTTAATGTGATAATTTGTTGGGATATCTAAGCTGCGCTTATTCTGGCCTCCGCATCTCTGGTCTCCAGTGTGGACTTGGTGTGATCTCTCATTGAGTGTGAATGTGTATGTGCTAATGGTGACGAGCAGAGAGGCTCAATGCATTGATGTTTTTTCCAAGGAGTAGGTCCATGTTTTGCTATGATTCTAAGAAGGTCATGCATAACTCATGTGTGAAACACAGCCATGAAATGAAGTGCTTTAAAAGCAAGGAACATAGACAATGGTAAGGAAGATGAGCATGTTAAGAAAAATACGGAAGTGTTTTCTTCCCATTCCATCATTCATTTTCCAAGGAGTAGGTCCATGTTTTGCTATGATTCTAATGCACGGAAAATCAGCGATAGAGATATACATGTGACCAGATAGTCGTGACCTCGAACCAATAGCAGAATTGCATCACGAGTTTCACCAAATAAGAGCACAGCAAAAGCTCATAATTGACAATGCTGGTAAAGTCTCATCATCATCAACGAAAAACGAAAATGTCGATATCCTATCTGGCCCTCGACGCCCAGGCTACAGATGGCAGATCCTATCTAGCCTATTGTAATGACCTGCCAAAAACACAGACTGAGAACACTGCTGATTCCTGGGATTTGCCACTGGAATGAACGCCTTGCTGAAATTCCCGCATTCTGCTGTGATTTCCATGTCTGTGTGTGTGTGCGTGCCTGCTGGTTTGCATGCCTGTCTGAGTGCTTGTCAGTTGAGTGTGTGTGTGACCCGCAAGGGTACTTGTTGGTTGCAAGGCCCCGCAGGGCCGGTACTTACCTGTGGCCGTGACTTTGAGGGTTGCAGGGGGGTNGTGTGTGTGACCCGCAAGGGTACTTGTTGGTTGCAAGGCCCCGCAGGGCCGGTACTTACCTGTGGCCGTGACTTTGAGGGTTGCAGGGGGGTAAACACTCAAGTAGCGCGGGTAGGCCCGCGACACTTAGAGCAAGGGGGAAAAACACTCGAGTAGCAGGTAGGCCGGTACCACTTGAGTAGTGGTAGGAGTGTCGGGTACTGGAGGCCGAGCAGAAAAAGACAAAAAGTTGGCATTTTTAGAGGCCCAGTAGCGTTCGGATAGAGGTAGGCCGGTACCAGTCCAAGTAGCCTGGGTCTAGGGCCTGTCAGGAGGTTAGCAGAGCCTGCAATGATGTTTCCCTCCGAAAGGGAGGAGGTACCGGTTGCTGGGAGGCCGCTCGGCCTAGGAAGTCACCGCCCAGGAGGCCAGTAGGCCGCTATATCTTTCGGAGGAGCAAGTAGCTCCTCCTCATTTGCGGTATGCAAGGATTGGCGACATGCTGCTGGAGCGCAGCGCTGGCTGCTACAGCGCTGCTTGGAGGTGAAGGGCAGCTGGCGCTCAGCCTGGCTATGGCGAGCAGCCCAGCTTGAGGAGGAGGAAGAAGGGGGGCTAATTAGGAGAGTGGCGAGGCACCTACCTGGCTATGGTGGACACCGTCTTCATCACCTTGTTGGGCACTGCATCTGGAAGGCCCCAGTTGGGGTAGTGCCGCATCAAGGAAGCTCGAGGCAGAGTCAGGCATGGMGGACCAGTCAGCWGCATCATAGCTGCTTTGRGTTGTCCTTTGGACAGGAGTGCAGCGYCATAGCTGCTTTGTGTTGTCCTTTGGACAGGAGGGCAGGGCCCTCAGCAGTCCGCCATAGCCTATGCATGAGAGAGGAGGCAGAAGGAGGGAAGCCATARCTATGGTGGACTGGTTGTTGTTGTTGTTGTTGAGTCAGCAGTAAGAGGGAACTTCGGATATTGATTCTGGTTCATCCATTCATTGTTATTATTATTATTGACAAGAAGAATAAGATTGGCGAAATGAAGGAGGAGGAGGAGGTGGAGAGAGAGAAGGGGGAATTGTCATTGGTCTTGCTGGTGCACATCTTCTTCTTCTTCTTCTTCTTCTTCTTCTTCTTCTTCTTCTTCTTTCTCTCTCCTCTGGTCTCTATCTCTTTGCAAGTGCTTTCATTTCTTTCGCAATTGGGTGGCATTGTCTTTCATNTCTTCTTCTTCTTCTTCTTCTTTCTCTCTCCTCTGGTCTCTATCTCTTTGCAAGTGCTTTCATTTCTTTCGCAATTGGGTGGCATTGTCTTTCATGGTGAATTTGCATTTGGGAAATGACCAGGATCGTAACACTATCTACAATGCCGCTGATGACGTCAACAGCTCCCCGAAGTACGAGCAGATCTCGGCCAGTGTCATTGGCCTCAAGCACCAGGTATGTCTCTCGCATCACTCACAACCTCGATCCCCAACTCACAGATGCCACATGCACCCAGGAACCACCATGCGCCCCATCCAGCATACAGCAGCGCAGCTCGGCTATGGCTTCCTGCTCCTTCCAGCTTGCCCGTGAGCGCATGAGCGCTGGCCATTCTTAGCGCAGCAGCACTTGCGCAGCATGCAGCCAGTGCCCGAATGCCGAATGCGTGGGCTGGCCGTTTCCTCAATGGAAGTGGCCTGCCTGCTTGCGTGCAGCCTGGCTGCGCTGGGCCCCTGCCCAGAAGCTTCCGGTAGGCCGAGGGAGGCTGAGCCCCAGTCCAAACAAATCAGGCCCTGGGCCTGTGGTGGTTGCCCGTGTCTAACTGCATGTGGCCTGTGTTCGGTCCATGTAGCGAATCTGCCTGCCTCAGTTACATTCGAAAGAGGCAGCCTGGGCCTGGGCGCTTTCAACCAACTGGCGCTGCGCAACTGCCTGAATTTCCCCTGTTGCTTGGTGACCCCAAAAATGGTCTGTAGGCCTCGGTCGAGCCTGCCTTCACTTAGGGCGGCCGACTGTGCTGAAAATAGGGCCCAGTAGGGCGTATCGAGGCCTTGAGCCTCCCATTCCCTCCTCCATACTTTGACAGTCCTCTGAGAAGTTCCATTACTGAATCTGACGCTTTCCCTTCTGCAGTGACTTCTCATAACGAGCGACAGCCTGTGGAGCGGTCTGCATCAGTTCCTCCCGAGTAAATAATCTGTCCTCCTTGGGATCAGTGTGATGTCTGAACCGAATGCGATATTGCGGCTTCTGCTTAGGAGGACGTCCCCTTGCTGTTGGTCTTGGAACTTGCATTTCCCTGTCGTCAACGATGTCATCGATTTCGACCTCTCCATCCATGGTTGGGGGCAGCATTGAGCGACGAGTGGGAAATTGATCAGTTTCCTCGGAAGGTGCAAGTTTGGACGCGTGAAAAACAGGGTAAGTGCGAAGATGACCAGGGTTCCGGATTACATAAGATGGCCCATCCGGATCTTCCCCAACAACATCCAGAACCTCCCATGGTCCAAAGTACTGTAACATGAGCTTACAAGAGATCCCGTGCTCCTGTCCCAGTTCTGAGGACTTCACCCAGACTCTGTCACCTACCTGAACTGTAGATGGGCGGCGGTGTTTGTTCTCTGATTCTATCATTGCCGCTTGTGCCTTGTGCATATGTTCTACTGCCTGCTGCATTAGTTGTTCATAATGATAGGCAAACTCAAGTGTGCCCGGTGCAGCAGTTGGCTGGTTGCCAGGTAGTAGAAAGTCTAGGGGCAGTCTAGGCTTGAAAGTCAGTAGCAGACTGTTAGGACTTACCCCAGTGGCGCTGTGTACAACGTTGTTGTACAGGCTGGCAATGAGAGCAAGTTTCTCATCCCAGTCCACCTGATTGGGCTTAATGTAATGCCGCAACAGGTGTTGTACAACGCGGTTCAGCTGCTCTGCTTGGCCATTCGCCTCTGGGTGGTTTCCGGATGTCATCTGCAGCTGTGTTCCCTGTTCTGCAGCAGCGGCCTTCCGCAATTCACTGGTAAATCTGACATCCCTGTCACTCACAATAGACTTAGGAAGCCCAAAGTCTCCGACCCAGTTCTCTTTGAATAGCCTGATCACATACTCGGTCTTAGCTGTACCAGGCATTGCAACCAATCTAACTTACTTACTAAACCTATCCACAATGATATAGATATCTCATTCCACTCTTGCTGGTCACCAGCGT